ACTAGAAGAGCATATTTATTTATTTATTTATTTATTTTTAATATACAATGTAGGTAACAACTTTTTTTAGTTAAATTTTTTGAGAAGTTGTCTGGAGTTCGAATTAAGTCATTCATAATACAAATAAAAATATCACAAAAGAGTATTAGAAATATTTTAAAAATTACTCACACTATTTATACTATTTCAAAAACGCTTTTGAAGTGAAAATTATCTAAAGTTGAGAGCATTATGAGAACAATATGGTAATAAAATTATTATGTTACTCAAACATTTCTGAAAATATACTGAAACGTAAAACAAAAATACCGAGTGCATAAATAGAACATAAAAAGAATGTTACTGAAACCAATTTTTTGAAACATTTCATTGGAAACGTATTTTGGGGAGGACATCTTGGGTTTCTAGAACGTTACCAGAATGTTGCATTGATTTTTTAGGAAACGTTTCAAGAAAAATGGAAACGTTTCTGAAACATGTCGGAAACTGAAAAATGTTTAGTGGGTACACAGTATAAAAATTTGTAGCTAAAATGTATATCTTCTAAAAATAGTTTTGAAGAAAAACAAGTATAAAGATATTGTATAACTAATTAGTAAAATAAAAAAGTAAACACGAATTAATTCAGACAACGGACAAAAAACACATTTATATGCGTCACATTCGTATTTAATTTTAACATATTCACACTTACTAATGTCCTTTCAATGAAAACAGACACCACACTATGTATGAATAGAAAATGTCATGCAACAAACATTTTTTCAAGTAAACTTAATCGTATAAAATTTGGGCTTTATATACGTTCCCAGTGGACCATTATCGAAGAATTCTTGGAAAAGTGGTCATTTGTGTTATATAATTAATTGATAATTTTCTATCTCTGCTATTAAGATAACATTTATTTTTTCTACAAAATATAAACTGTCCTTTGTAACACGGGTGAGTGGGTTGACCCTTTTACACCAGCTAATATTAAAATAAAATGTATTAAGAGATACAGAATTATAGTTAATTCATATACAGGGTACAAGAAAAGTATAAGAAAAATATTTAAAATGTTGGTTCAGTGTGCATATGTATTACATTATAAAATTCAAAAATAGTATTTTAATTTGAGCCTCCCTGTAAAATTTTTAATAATGTTTCAATTTATTTTTTAAAATGTAAAACCACATATACTTACCATCAGATTAGAAATGTTATGATCGCTGTTATATATGATTAAGACACAACTGTAATAAAAATATATGTATATAAATCTTATTGACAATGTTATTCACTTATCATTTTTATCACTATTATATACACCTAACATTCACTTGAAATTTTCTCGATTTATTATTATTTATATGTCAAAAGCGATTTAGCAGTGCGACTTTGCATTTACAATTAGAGATATTCGCTTCATGCTTAATAAATATTTTAGTAGAAAATCACCTTCAGTAAACAAAAAACAAATCGAAAAAATCTACATTAAACTGATGCGATAAATTCAGGCAGTGTAGGACTGGCTATGATTAATGGCCCTCACTAAATTCCGCGAAGGGACCCTTTTTAGATATTGAAGAGAAATAAATAACAACATATCTTAATGTTTTTTAACACCACCCACATGGAATGGACATGCTAATTTTACATATTTTTTCCCTGCACAATCTCTCTGGAAATATTAGATATCTGGTAGAGACCGTTCGAAAAGGACTCCTTGGCGAGCCTGGCTAGTGCCAAGGATTCTCACAAGAGAGAATCCTTGGGCTAGTTCAACAAATATTTTTTATTACGATATTTTCCGACAATATTTTATTCATTTCAAATTAATACAAGGCCATAAGTTGAATTGTAAATAAAATATACGTTTAATTAATAATAAATATTAACATTAATACTAATAACGAAGATAATGACGATAGTCGAAATTATGGCATTGGCGATGATGACAAAGATAGCGACCATAAGATGATCGACGATAATGAATGAAGATATTCTTTTAATAAACGCGTTGATAAATGTATTGAAGTTAGAGGTGGACATTTTGAGCAATTATTGTCAAAAATGCATATTTTTTACTAATGTTTACTATTTTAATGTGCATTACAATTTTAAATTCTAAATAAACCCTTGTTTTTGAAATTTTAAATTATTTTAATTATTTCAACTATTAGCATTGGAAATTTCAGAACCAAGACAGCTACTTTCATAAAATCTACATTTTTTGTGTAAAAAAAAGGTGGAAAATAAGAATTTGATACCAAAGATGAGATACCTTTAAGTACAAAAAAGTTATGTCGTTTCTAACACCTTCAATCTACGGCAGCTGGCGCCCTCTATAAACTATAACCAAAATGTGAACAAATTTCAATTCCTCTACCCAAAGAACCACAAACCCCAAAATTTTGTGTAGATATTTGCATTTATTAAGAAATAAATGGAAATAAACTAAAATAATATTTTACATTTAGCACCCTGTATCTCTTTAACTATCAACTTTTGGACTAAGGTAACTTTGGCTAAATCGCAATATTTTTGCTTCGGGAATCTACCCTTGAATTTTGGCCCATTACCTCGAGACCACCATGTATATGCTTTTTCATAGTTGCGGTTATAGGTATACTAAATTCCGATTTACCAAAACGGAAACGTTTTTGAACTGTAATTTTTTAAAGTTTAATATTTGGAGTTTTGGTTGTTCATATGCATTTTTAAGAATTAATTTGTCATAATAAATTTAAAATTGTTGTAATTTTGTCGCAACAACTCGACGAATTATGTATGACCAGATGATGGAGATTAAAACTCTAATAATGTTTTATTATAAAGTGTAATGGTAATACGTAGTTTAAATAACTAGGTGGATTTCACAGGGTCTAACGACACTTAAGAGTATACGATAATTCAATAAATATAGAAGTCTACATAAAAAATTTAGATAAATTTGGAACGAATACATTGAAGATGAATTTTTCGAGACAAAACGTCTGAATCTGGTTCGGGCTGAGGCAGTACAGTATTGGGGGTCATAAAGGCTTGCAAAAAATGTAGTAAAATTTCCAGGGTCGTATTTAAAAAAATTATGTTGACGATAGTCCAGCAGACACGAAACGTTATATATAAAAATTGATTCGATAGAGGACAAAAAGTTGCCATGAGAAAGTGTTCTTTTTTCAATATCACCTCAAACAAGGCTGAAATGAAACAAAAATGGATTTCCAAAATTTCGTTTTTTTAATTTTAAAACTAATCATGTTAGCCTTGATTTTTTAGAGGCATAATGTTCGTCTCCTGATTATGCAACTCTGAACTCTGCCCCATTTAAGCTACTTCGTATCTCTTACTGTTCCCGAGATCCCTGTAGTGATCGAGAAGCGAATTTGTAACAGCCTGTATAGTTACTATACTTAAGGGCACAAGAAAGGCCCTAATTCGTTATAAAAATCAAAATCTGTCAACATTGTGGCGGGCAAGTCAACTGTCCACGTTGTCCGTCAAAAACCTTCTCCATGACCAAAATTTAAAAATGATAATGCACAAATAATAAAATTATATTCCAAAAAAATATATATATGTCATACAGAAAAACACTTATTTATGTCTGGAACAGTATTTACAAGAGAAAGTTCAGTAGCTCAGGGGCCGACGGAGCAGATGTCCTTGGGGGTCTAGGTAGTGGCGCAGGAAAAGGTGGTGGGGCCGGAGGAACGATCAGGGAGGCTGGTGGATCCTTGGGAAAGTACGGGGCGGCTAAAGAGGAAGAATATTTCTATAGGAAGCAGAGGGACCAGTTAGAAGAATTGAATAAGCAGTTGGAAAAAAGAAAGCAGGTTTGTAAACATGCAGAGAGTGTAGAACATATGGACGATATTATCCAGAAGAACCGAAAGCGAATTGCTCGACTTGAGAAATGTCTCCGCAAGAAATAATTATTTTATACAGAATGGATTAAGTTTTAAGAAATATAAATCTAAATCCAATGGCATTTTGTTACTGCGGGTCTGATCACAATTTTTTAAATTTAGTACCAAAATATTTGTTGGGATAGATAACAGCGCCATCTACCGTTGATAATGTGAAAAATTTATATAGGTACAGAAGAAAATTATAGATGTGCTGGTGTGTTGGCATTGTTGGCAGTGTTGGCACAGACCTTCATTGGTCAACAAATCTATCGGTATAGAACCACACATAAACATGACACCACCCCCGGGGTTTACACAGACGAGCCGGCGAAGCAAGAAGAGCGCCAGAAGAAAGGGCCCTAGCCGGCGGGGCCCAGCCAGGACAAAAGGAGGTCCCACAAAGCGCCTACACCGGCCGCATTTGCGGTCGGGGTAGACGACGGATGGGGCCCACCTACGAAGGCTGTCCAGGCCTACACGAGATGAGGCAGGATAAAGAGGGATAATCCCCCTCGATCCCAAATCATTGAGGCCAATTTCTAGCCATGGAATAATGGCGGTATAGAAACACACATTTTTAAAAATAAATACAACACTGTATTTGATATATTTTTTAATTTAAAATATTTTGAAAAAAATTAATTTTGATTTTTAGGTTTTTTTCTACACCGCAAATTAAAAAATAAACTCCTGTGCAATAAGGATTAATCAGAGATGTTTGTAATATTACATTTACCTACTTTAAAATCTTAACATAAGATTTGTCAATCTTTCTAAAAATCGCATGTTTGAAAAAAAAAGGAAAATATATAAATTCAGAGACCGATAAAACAGAAAATAAAACTATTTTTTCCTTTATACAGGCCAAACACCTATCGTCATCTTTTTATGAGATACACATATATGTAGTGTCGAATACGTTTTTGATGTAATGTAGTATACTGAAATTTGATACTGGTAAATTTTTGAGGATTTTAAATAATACATAGTAAGTACTCTTGTTGAAATTACACCGTTTATTAGAAAAATGCAATTGATTGTCCGTCAAATAAATTTATGAAGGGTAGCCTCCTGCTTGGATGAAACTATAACTCGACGGAGAAAATTATAGATAGTGATTCATCGCTAGCTCTTGGACTAGTAAGAGAGATGAAGCGTGCCGGGAACGAATATCCATTGGCGTGTCTGCGTAAAAGGCAACAAGATATAGAAAATATTGAAAAAACATAATAAAACGTAACATCTAATATTTTTTACGGTTTGCTATAACCGGCACTTTGATCAATTTTAATTATTACAGCATTTTAAAACGTCCCAGTTGTGTTTTTTTAATTTATAAATTTATTATAGCCATGGAATTAGACCCCTCGTCTACGCTTATGCTATGACGTTTCTCAGGTCGGGCAAATCAAGTCCGTTTACACCCACTAAAAAAGCATTTCCCTATTCCCTACCAAGTGCAAAAGACAGAGATAAAATATAGATCGACGTTCAGTGTAACTCAGTCTATACACGATTATAGATTCTACCGATGTACATGGCGAGCGGCACAAAGATAAATAATATTGAACCGTATAGAAATCATTTTATATTTTATACGCATTATGGTAATAGTGTTTTTATATTATGTATTAGTCACTCTTTATAATTTCGGCCGCCGAGATTCACAGAAGCTATACACGGAAAGAAGGGATGCAAAACCGTTGGTCCCTTATTGTCTAAGCATTGTTAGGCAATTAAAAAATCCCACGACAGTGCGGATTCGACAAAATTTCCAGGAAGGAGTTACTCATATCCTGTCATCGATATTTAGCTAGCTACAATAGCCGAAATAGGCCAATGTAAAATATTTAAAAAATTAAAAAAATGTCCGTTGACTGGGATAATCAAATATTTTTCTTACAAAAACGGTGAGTCATCGATTTCAATACGAGTACCATTTTTATGTAAAATGGAATATTACATTATAATATACCAAATACACTGTAAAAAAAACTGCTCCTCTAACTACGCCCATGGCCTTGTATCTCATAAACAAAAGATGTGGCCATGGTCTAAAGGAAAAATTGTCTTATTTTTTTACGTTTTATTAACACCCTGTATAATACTGAGTCTTTTATAGCAATTAGCTACTTCAAGATTTATAGCATGTAAAAATTAGTTTTGCTTAAACAACCCCTGCCTGATCCTTGTGATAGACACGACTATTGATCAATTTTAATAATTTGCAGTCTAGCAAAATACACGAAAAAAGAAAAACTTAAGACATGCGCTATAATTTGTGTACATAACTATTGATAAAATGAAAATAATATGTCAACGTATTTTGATATATTTTATTTTATATATACATATCTATTAATATAATAAACAGATAACAATTGCATAGATTATTTTATGGCAATAAGACCATAACACCTAGGGGATATCACTGGATCAAATAATTGTACTATAAATGACTTTTCATGGCCCTGTTCATGTAGAAACAACAACCTATCTAGTAAAATTAAACTTTCAATGACCGGAGCTAGCATACATCTGATCAAATAAAAATTGTTTAGTTCGCTCATTCTACACTTATATTCGTCAAACAAATCCTCAATTTCTCCATTAGATGCAGATATATCTACATTAATTCTTCTTGAAGCTTTTTGAACATAATCAGCAAAGTCGACACATTCTTTCCTAAACCTTCCGACTTTCCTTTTATTGGCTGGTACATCCACACATTTATTTTCTATAAGCACCTCAAACAGAGCCCTATAAAATAGTGTCCGATTCGGTAACTGTTTCTTATGCAGAACACGCTCTACTGATTGTGCGGCAATCATTCTAGCGGCTCTACCCATCACAAATCTTTTCTCTCTTAAGTATTTACTCATCGGAAAGCCGTTACTTACTAGTGCATGGTCTTTCCGATTCGGATCCACTTCGAAATACTCAGTTATGTGGTGATAGCAACATCCAACATTGCAGATAGTTTTTATTTGTTCGCTAGCATCGAAAATTCTGATGGAGGTAGCTGCTAGGTTGCCGCAGGTATGTAAACCTACTAGACTAAGTTCGCTAGGTTTTTCAAGGAAGACATTTTCAACAAGTTCCTTAAAATCGGTAGATTCGTTAACGAATTGAGTTATTTGTTTGTATAAATCGGCTGTTGTTTCTTTAGTTTTTTTAATTTCGTGTTTGTTTACAACACTATTCCATACCTTAGACAATTTTTGGACACGTTGAACGGCTCCGTTGGTGTTAATTTCCGAAGCATCAACTCCCAAGACTGGTATTTTATAGTGAAGTGCTAACATGGAACTTAAATAACCTTTTCCATCGCCTATATCAATAATGTGAGAAGTTTTGGATATATCACGAATCGCAGCTGAGAGAAAACTCATAATGTCAACTTCGTGAGATTTTTTATAAGTCATAAAAATTTCTAACTTCAGCCTTAAAAATTTTTCACAACCCCATTCTACGAGTCTGTCTTGAAACTGATTCGTGTTCAAACAAACATGTTGGCAGTTTTTTAGAGCAAGTTCTTCACTATTTTTCATATATTTGTATAAATTTGGCATTTGTGTGTAATCATTATTTAAAATATTGCTTGTTACATCTTCGCTTTTTATATTGTTAATTTCCAGTTGAATGTCATCTGGAACTAAATTTCTGTAAGCTTCCTTTTTGAAATAATCCACCATATGAAAATTTGCCAGAGGTAGTAAAGGTTGCAAATAACATATAACATTTTCTATATGTTCTTGTATTACTTTACAATTCACCATCTTCAGATATCCTTAAAATGAAAGATTACCGTTTTCAGGATATGTAATATCAATTTTTAATTGAGCACACACTTTTTTAAACTTTGCACGAATTATATTTGCTTGTTCAATTATATCTATATCCTCAGCATTGTGCCAAGGAAAACTATCTAAGAGTTTTTTCAAGTTGTCTAAAGATTTTACAATTTTTTCTGGTAACCTTCCGTCATTTGAAAGGTTTAAATAACTTTCGATTACTCCCGTATAGTAACCTATTTCAGATCCCAATTCTGCACCTCTATGGTATCCAAGGTGGTATCCTTCAGGATTACCTTTTGCGGCCCCTATTTCAAACCCTTCTTTGTAGCTATCCGCTATAACTTTTTCTTCTGATAGCAATAATTCATCGAAAACTTCATTGATATCTCGTTCTGAAATATAAATCGGTTTTACAAAACTGTTTAAAAGTAACTGTCCATACCTTTTTCTTTTTGAGACGTCATTACACGTTCAAACTACTTCTTTTTTGAATTTCAATCCTATTTTTCATATTTCTCATTATTTCATCTCATAAAAGCATAGACACAAACAGAGACAATAGATAACTAGACACAAAAAGGGTTTTTTGGCGAGAAAACCGCTAACCCGGTTAACTATAGTTTGTTGAGGTTTGACGTTTTGGCGAGAAATGTAGTTAACCCAGTTTGGCAGAGTTTGCCTAACCATCAAACCGGACTTGTGGGTTGGTTTGGATATTAAGTTAATATTTCTATCTTTGTTTATTTATTTTCTGTTTCGTACCATCGTACCTAGTCACTACTTCGTTTTTTTAGAGGTTTGGATAGGTATAAGTTGTAAATAAAAAAAATTGATAATGGATTAACTTTGCAAAAAATACAAAGTAAATATTTAAAATTGATAATAAAAAAATAGTAATCGAGGATCCAAATAACTTTAATCGTAGATATGCATATTCTATATTGTACTGTATAGATCTTTATTAACTTCCTTTTTGACGATACATTTCCGTGGGAATAGATATTTGTGAAAAGGTAAACCCATTTTGATTTAATAACCATCTATACATTAACGTTATTTCATAGATGTGCATTTCAGATTAGGAATAACAATTATAGTATATAAGAAATAATCAAACAACTTGAGTTACGAGCACTATCATAGATTATAGGTTACGATTTTATTATTGATTAGATATCCAAACCAAAAGAATTTTTGCGAGTTCTGTCAAATGTTAACTCAAACTCTTAACACAATCAAACTCGAGCTAACCGGGTTTGATGTGGTTTGGCTCGCCAAAAAACCCTTAAAGTCAAAACTAATTAGGTTTTAGGTTAACATTATGTGGTGGGCACAGAGCATGGTCCGTAAAGACGTTACGTTACGGACCGTGGGCACAGAGTACCAACCCAGAGAGTTGGTAATCTGTGGGGGTGGGGTGAAATGGTGAAACATGAGGTGTTAGGCATAGACAAAGACGGAAGTTAGGTTAATAATAGATTTGCTAGTGACATGACAATCCCCTCCTCAGGCAAGCCGTTGACTACGTACCCGACGTGACCGACAAACACAAAAGACCTAGACACCGCGCCGCGCGCGCGACATTATTCTATGGCTAGAAATTGGCCTCAATGATTTGGGATCGAGGGGGATTATCCCTCTTTATCCTGCCTCATCTCGTGTAGGCCTGGA